ATGTGGCAGGAAGGTGAAGGTGTAGAGAATTGGAAGACTAGCCTCTGCCATGTTCTTCACTTCCTACTCAGATTTTTAGAACCAGGGAATCACTTCAGTCTGTAAAACACACTAGAGAACCTTTGACTTCCACACTGATCTGAACTAACAGCAGTGTAGATTTTTTTTTTTTCCTTCTGTAAAGACACATCCAGACTTGATTAAATGATCTCAAGTGCTCTCAGCTGATGCACACAACATTGTGACAGCAAGGACTGCCTGCTCAGTTCTAGTGGCAACTGCACAGTGCAGAGATTGTTTGGTAGACCAGGCCTTGCCATGGCTGAGGAGGGAATATCCCTTTCCTAGCATTCTGACTCTTGCAGTATCCCTCTTTTGTCCGTTTTTATGTTCCTGCTGCATAAGACTGATGCCATGCGGGAAGGGGAGTGGGGCACATGTTTCTCTATGCTCGTGTGTGGGCTCAGTGCTTCTATGTGGTGTGTGCATTTCCGTATCTGATATCTGATAAGTCCTTCTGTTTGGCCTTTTAACAGGACAGTGTCCCAATGGGCTCTCCTGCCTTCCTTCTCTCTCTCTTTGTAAGTATTGAAAGGCTCCAGCAGGTACTGCAGTACTGCTGGCGGTGTGCTCTGCTCCTTGTCTGGGTGATCACTGCACTGTCACAGCATCCTTAGCATTGCAGCGGTGTGTGTTTAACTTAGGGGCTGTACAACCATGATCATTAGAGAAGAAACATGTCGGTCCCTTCTTATTAGCGTGGGTGAGTGGGTGGGGCTTCAGTCTTTTCTTCTGGTTCCAAGTGTTCTCGTTTTGTCATCTGCCTTTGCTTTTTTCCACAACTTCTCTCCTGCTTTCTTTCCATGTAAGTGGGAAGACAGACCATGTGGTGCAGTACTATAGTTCTTAACATCTCTCATGCTTATACAGCTGCCCTTCCGCACGTTCGAGACAGTGCGAAGGGTCTTGGGAAGGTGAGGAGTCAGCTGTGTACTCCTTTATCATTCATGGTCCAGAAGGGAAATAAGATACTCTGCAGAAATACCTTGCTCTGTGCCTGTGGTGATCTGGAAGTGTTTGGAAAAATATTCCCTCCAGGAAACCCCAAGTCTCTGAGTTTCGGGGAGGAGAGAGGGGAGGAAGATGGAGAGTTGTTTTTTTCTCTCGCATATATCTAAAGACAGAGGAGTACTCCGGGAGAGTCAGCATGTCAGCCAGAGAGAGAGGGCAGCGGATCAAAGGAAGCTCTCAGCTCGCCTTCTACTCCTGGAAAGGAGCTGTGCGGAGAAACTAGGGAGCTAGTGCCAGGGTCACTCAACTGGAGGAGCACTTCCCATAGGGATCAGCAGCTGATAAGGTAGGTTAGTCAGCAGTTTCCTCTTCCCATCTTAAGAGCCAAGCTAGAATCTGCCGCTTAGGAGAAAGCCTGCACTGTACAGACTCCAAAAGCACTGTCTGGGCGAGAGCCTTATTGCCTCTTTCTGCCCTGGCTGCCAGCAGTGCACAGAGATGCTGCAAATCCCAGCACCTGTGCTGTGACCAGAGTGAATTTTAGGTAGGTCTGCAGGCAGGCCTCCCCAGGCCTTCTTAGGGCAGCTTCCCTTTCTCCTCTTTGGAAGGCGTGAAAAGTTGTTAGCAGATGCACAATTCCTTACCTCCCCGAGTGCTGGAGGAAGAGTTTTGTGTTTCAGGTTGCGTAACTCTCTTTTTTTGTTTGCCTTGTGACTAGGATGGTGGCACCAGAGGGCGTCGCTGTGCCATTGAGGCAGACATGAAGATGAAGAAATGATGCTGCAGGCAGACAGAAAATCCCAGCACCTAGCATCCAGAGCTGGAGTGCAAGCAAGATGCTGTTAACAGCTGTTGGAGGAGGAAGAAAAGCTGCAGGTCCATTTCTGGGACCTGGTCCACCTTCTTCACTTGCCCCTCTGGAAAGCAGTATCTCATCGGAATGTGTAACCCAAAGAAACTTCCCTGGAGGGGAAGACTGGCCCCCCTGCCTGTTTTAGGGCAGTCGTCTTGGGCTTCATCAGTGTTCTGGTGTTAGCTAGCAACTGGTGGCTCGTATGTACTGTAATGTGAAGTGTACAGATTTTTACTAGTGATGTGTAAATGTGTATGTATATTAAAGTCTGGGAACAAATCCAGTGTACAGTGTGCAGTGTACCGAGCATCACAGCTCTCTGCAGTGAGGAACCCTGTTTTTGTACAAGGGTGCTTACCTGTCTTGAATATCTCCAAATATAACTCTCTTCCAGTTATCCATACAGCACACAAGCGTGGCAGAGCTTTGACGTTAGAGGCAATCCATTAATCATGGGAATGTTGCATAGTGCTTGGATGGAGGGGAAGATTCTCTGCTTGAGTGTGTGAGAATATGGTACTGCTGTGATGAAACAGGAGATCTCACCATGAGAAGTAAAGTCGTGTTGGAGCTTTCCTTAAGAGACCAATGTATTGAAATGTACCTTACATTCCTTCCCCAGAGATTTGTAAAGGGTATGCTAGTCAGAGTGAAAATCTGTCATTCCAGCAGCTGTAGGCATGCTAGTACCTGGTTTCATGCTGGAGCTTTTGAACTGTTTCTCTACTGGAAATTGCAGTTCTTTCCCTCAGCAACATGGATGCTTAACTGAGTTTTAAGTTCTTTCTGACAATTTTCAAGTCACCTTCTTATTTTCTGCTCATGTGACCTGTGAGATGAAATGTGCATATTTTCTGCCCCCATGACCTTCCAGGGGAAAAAGAAACCACAAAACACATTATGCTTCCTGATGCTTGCAGCTGCTGGGAGTCGTCTACACTTCCTTGTGCAGCCTGTACAGGGCACAGCTTTCTGACATAGAAGTTGCAGGAAACTGAGTCACTGCCATTAGGACCAGACCTTACCTTGATTTTCACAAGTTTTGTGTTGAAATTGGTTGTGTGTGCTGTGTTGAGTCCCATGTTTGGCTGAGGTGTATTTCCACCAAGAATCACTCTACATTTGATGGAGAAATGTAGAATCATTTGGTTTGCTTACTGGTTAATTGTCCTTTGCTACTCAAATTGGCAGCAAATTTCTGATTTGAATTTTTATGGCCTCAGTTTCCAGAGATTACAGGGTAAGTTCATAGCACAAAAAGTTACATGTTTCTTTTGGTTACTGGTATTTTATGGAATAATTTAAGTTGGAAGGGACCTCTGAGCATTTATCTAGTCCAGCCTGCTGCTCAAAGCAGGGCCAGCTTCAGAGGTAGATCGGGTAGCTCGGAGCCTTGTCTAGTCAAGTTTTGAAAATCTCCAAGGATGGAGATTCCCTAACCCCCTCTGGACAAGTTGTTTCAGTGCTTACCCACCCCCATGGAGTAAACATCTACCTTATATTGAGTCTGAATTTCCTTCAGTGCAGCTTGGTGTCACTGCCTCCTCTCCTTTCGCTGTTGGCCACTGAGAAGAGTCTGGCTCTGTCTCCTCTGTAATACCTCTGCCCTGTCTTTGTCTGTGTTGAACAGCTGAAGTTGCAGCACGTGGGAGGACCTTTATCATGCCCACTAGTAACTCACTTTCAGTATGGAAGGCACTGCTGTTCCTACTCTTGGTTTCTTCTCTTAACCAGGAATTTTTCCCTCAAAGAGCTTTTTCTCTTGTCCCATGACATTTTAATAGCCTTTAATGATGTTTAAGACCTTTAAAAATCTAAGATAGTACAGAGCCCCGTGGCCTCTTTCCCAATTCATCATCTCATGATCTGACTCCTAATTCTGTTCTTCCTTTGTTCTAATCTGTCTAGTGCAGAGCTCAGGCTTACTGTGCTGTCTATCCCAACATGCACCCTTTTACAGACATATAACAATTGCATCTTTCTGTTTTTCTTGTGCTGTGGCTAGTTTAAATGACAGGTTACACACATAGGCTTGGTCATGTTATATTTAAGCTTCTTTAGGACTCACAAGTGAATCCCAACTGGTTCTAAGGTTTACTCCAGCCTTCAAATTGTTCTAAAACCTCCCCACTGACATTTTAATTAGAAACAGTCTCTCAGACCCATCCCAAGAGAAAGTCTCATGTGATCTCCTCTGTGGCAACTGCCGATAATGATGATTAATTTGGTTTTTCCAACTGGCCCTATTTTCTGCTGAGACGTTTGGCACTGATCATGCGTCATTCCCACTGATCATCTGGCAGCTCTCTGCTTCTGATGTTTTTGATGAGGTTTGTTGTTGTTACTTGCTTTTATGTCTTTAGCAAATTGTTCCTCAGTTTTTTCTTCTTTTTTTTTTTTGCCTACTTTTTTGTGGATTCTACATTTCATTTACTAGAGTTCAGGCTTTTATCATTTTTCTTGTTTTGACATGTAAGTTCCTTCTAAAGGCTGTCTTATTTATTTCTAACAGCTTTTTCTCATACCGGCGAGGGTTGCGCAGTGTCTGATCTCTGCAAAGTGAACTAAAACTTTCCAATTCAGTAATGATTCGTTGCTGGTGACTTATGTAGCCAACATAATTAAGAACTGTCAGGCAGTTCTTAATTAAAAGTTGAAGTCTGTATCTTTTTGTCCCTTATTTTTTGTACAGAATTGGTATGGAACTAAGCAGTCTGTAATTGTTTCACTCATCCTGCTTGTCTTGCACTAATGCTACTGTTCCGCTCTGGTGTCCTGAGTCTTCCAAGATGTAGTAAAACTGAACATAAGGCCGAAGATCTTTTTAATCGGTGCTTATGCCCAAGTTCCCTGGGCTTCCTCTCAACTGGAGTACAGAAAGATGATCACAAGTGATTGGATTACCCTAGGCTAAGGCTTTTCTGTTCTTCAGCTGAGCTGCGGTGGCTGGTTCTACATGTGCGGCCAGCTCTGCTGATGGTGCAGAAAGCGCTTTAGGCACTCTTCAGATGAAATCACGGTTTGCCCAACTCCTTTAGCTGCAAGCTGAGAGCAGGTAATGTTATCTCTTACCTCATCAAATTTTATCTGCTTCTGCTTAAGTTAACTTTGAAAGAGGTTTCAGAAGGACCGCCTTTCGGATCCTAGCTCTGCTTCTAAGTTCGTAAAATAAGCAAACAAGTTTCTCATCCCAAACGCAGTGGATTCCTGATTTCTCCCTAGTGTGCACCGTAAGTTTTATTTGTAGCTGTGCTAGCAGTCCTGGGAACACAAAAGGAAGTCAGTGAGAAATGTGCTTGTTCAAAATTCTGGAAAAATTAGGTTGTACATAATTAACTGAAAACTCTAAAGACACTGCTAATTAATGCATAGAATTCTCCATAGGTACAACATCCAGGCAGCTGAGTTCAGTGGCAAGATACAGATTTTTCTAACAGCTGTTTACTGTTGTTCCTATGACTCTGCAAGCAATTCCCCAGACTTAGAGAAATCATAGTGGACTCAGGCAGTAGAAGATACTTAGGAATGGACTAATGAACAGAGATGAAACGAATGGTTTCTTCCTTCTCAAGAGAACTTTTATTTTCTGAAATGTGTAGAACTGTCCCCTGTCAGTGTGTGACTGTGCATGGTTGTAATTCTTCTGGCTGAGGTACACAATGTATCACCATCCAGCTAAATCACATCTGTCACTTTCAAAACAAAGTTTCTGTGGTATTTGTAGTAAGTTATTTCCAGTATAAGAAGTTCTCACGGGGCAGAAAAGGGAATTTCAATGAGTTGTCCTCAGAGTCACCAGTTTTTCACAACTGTCAGCAGCTCAGGAGCCCCGGCATGACTTGGTTTTGAGCTTGCTGCTGGCTGCCTTTGGCACCTTAAATGTCTAGTATCTGACAAAGCCGCATGCTTCTAACCAGCTCAGCATCCCCCAAGCACGGTAACCCACCAGCCCCTGGGCAGCACAGCAAAAGCATCAGAAAACCTGAACTTCAGTTGCTCTGAAATGACAGTTTGTGTTGCAGAGCTACAGCCCTGCCACGTGCTGTCAAGTGTGGGCTCAGGTGTAGGCTCCTCGCCTCACGGAGTCCTTCCCATGCTTCAGCTCTCTGACTGTGTCAGGAAATGAGCTGGGCTTTGCAGTTCTGGGTCCGGGTACGAAGAAACTGCTCTCTCTCTCTTTCTGTTGGTTTGCAGGCAGGCAATGCCTGGATGTGGTGGAAGTCTGAGATGGAGTCTCCCAGCGAGTCAGAGAAGAACAGTGACTTCCAGTCGCTTCTCAGCTGGGATTCAAGCTTGGATCCGGACATGGGGAGCTGGAGGAATACTGAAGAGGTGGCCATGGAGAAGCTAGAGGAGAGCAGCCAAGAGGCAGACCGTGAGCTGGAGTTCAGTGAGCCTCTCTGGGGCGATGATAGTGAAGACTACCAAAAGGCAGAGAAACCATGTGAAGATGAGAATTTTCTCCAGTTCTTCTCAGAGGTAGGGCTGTTTGGATGACAGGAAAGTGGGCGGCATAGTTCAGGCCCTCCTAAAACTTTAGGGTTTTCAAGGCCTCCACCATCCCTACACACAGAAACAGTCTGGGGGAGGAGCAGATGCCCTGAGTTCAGTTGCTCCCTGTCCCAAGCCTAGCCCTTCCTCCCATTTAAAGCTGGCACCGCAACCAGGCAGCTGCTTTGCCAAAACACAGCTCACCCTAAAGCACAGAGATGTCAGTGAACTGACACTGTAATAATAACACAGGGCTTCATCAGAAGATTTTGCAAGGATTCCTAAAAATGGAAAGGCGTTCGTGAGTGAAAGCAAAAATAGCATCTGTGCTGCTTATTTCTTCTTCCTTTTGCCTTCACAATTTGAAGCAATAGATCTCTGTGTTGCAGGTAACCCAGATGATGGAACCTCTCTGCATTAGCAGCACAGAGTCATCACAGGCTCAGTGGGATTATTGTGACTGTGGGAAGCAGGATGATGGGGAAGATGTGAGGTGCCAGGAAAAGACCACAGGGACAGCAGTCTCAGGAGCAGACAAAAGTCAACTACATGTCCTGGCAGATGAGAAAGAACACTTCCCAGGAAGAGAGGTAGGGGAGAGGTGGTCCTAAGAGAGCCTCTGGTCCTGGATGAGAGATGAGAGACAGTGAAGGAAATCAGCTCTAGAAGAGGTGTGGAAGTCCCAGGTTCCGAGTGGGGAGATGGGGACACGGAGGAGACATCAGGGAGGGGAATGCAAAAGAAATGTATGAGGGGAAGGATGTTTTTTATATATGGGTATG